GGGGGGGGGGGGCCGGGCCGGGTAGCGTCTGCCCCAGCCGGTTCTCCAGCCTGTCTGGGCACTCCAGGCCTGTGAGGAGGGGCCCTGGCATGGGCTGTCTTCCTTGGGAGACTTCCCTGCTTCCCCTCCCCCCACAGGGGCCTAAGCTGGCCAGTGGAAGACCATCTGAGACTGGTCTGGCAGTTACCACAGTGCGGATGGAGTGGGGCGGGGTCCTGGTTTCAACCCCCTAGCATCCCACCCACACACCCATCTTTCCTTTCATCTCTCAATCATCCTTCCCCTCCTCCTTCCTTTGAGCCCTTAAAGGTGCCCGCAAGCCCAGGCCACTGTGTGGGCTGCTGGGAGGACTCTGCCCTCCAGGAGTAGCTGATGGGGCAGAAGCGCAGACAAGCTGACAGCCCACCACTAGGGGCGCACTCCATTGGCTGAGTTTTGAGGGCCTGGTGGGACTTTGGTGGGGGGAGGGCAACTGCGGGTGGCAGTAAGGCGTTGGGCCTGGCTGGAGCTGCAGGGTATGGAGCAGGGGAGAGGGTGGGGCTGCAGAGAAAGGGCCACCTGTGCCTGGCCTTGGAGGAGTGGGTGGGTCCTGATTAGGACTGCGGGCTCTGGCTCAGACCGCCTGGCCTGGGATCCCTCAAGACTACCCAGCTATGTGGCCTTGGGACAGTTGCTCGCTCCCTCTGAACCTCTGGGTCTTCAGCACGAAATGGGCCAATGAGGGGCCAGTAGATGGCGTAATGGTTACGTCGATGGACTCCCACGTAGTCAACTGTGGTGAGAGTCCTGGACCTCGTGGCTTAAAACTCATGCCAGGTGTGTGTGTGTATGTGCATGCCCAAGAACCTGAGAAGAGGATGGAGAAGGGAGTGCCGTGTGGTCATCCCCCCAGGGGGTGATTTCTCACTGTCTGTCTCTCCAGCAAGCGCACGTGCCCTATAGGAAAAATCTCTTTAAAAAAAAAAACGGGGCTGACGATGGCAGTAACTGCCTAGACGGTGAGATGGCGCGTGTGAAGCAGAGGGAGGCTCTATGAACACTGACCGTTCCTGGCAGCCACCTCTGTGATGAGGATCCCACAGGAGTCCCGAGCCTGTGTGTGACACGCGCACTTGGCCCCAATCCCTCACACGGGCTTGGATTCAATGCCTTCCCTCTCAATCAGTCGTTTCCTCCCGTTCAAAGAGAACAACTCTCAAATGCCTTCAGAGGTGGGGCAGTCATTTGAATGAGTGGGTGGGTGCAGAGGAAGGCTGTAGGGAATGGTGGGGAGTAAAGCATATGGGGGTGCCTCTAGGTTCGGCGGCTGTGGCCAAGTGGGAGTGGGAGCCTAGGGAGGCCAGAGATGGTTTCTCAAAAGAGGGAAACCCACGCTTTATGAGTAAGCCTCCACTGCTAATATTAGCAAGGCACTAGATGCATTTTTTAAAGCATCACGTGAGCCCAAGTTACTGCTTCTGTTGGAAGATGCTGCCTCTGAGGCCACTGTGTAACTTGCTTACGTAGAAGGGAGCTGTGGAAGGACGGGCGGTGAGCAGGGCAGCAGCCACATTCCAGGTCTGGTGAATCAAGCCCAGTTTGCCCCCTCCCTTCCCCTCCCCGTGCACAGTGGAGGTGGGAGGCTGGACCCCTCCTCCTCCTCGTTGATACTCTCAGGAGTGGCCCCCGCCCCATGAGAGATAGGGGCTGGAATGAGGCCCCCCAGCACTATCTCGCTGGAGGTGCCAGTGAGTCTGGGGGAGCCTGGCTACACCAGACAGGTCTGCTCTGTGTCTGGGAATGGCAGGAGGGGGCTCGTAGGGCCATGATCAGCTAGGGCCTGGCTCCTTGCTCCTGAAGGTCAAAGGGCAGCACTTCCAGCCTTTTCTGGAGTCAACTTCCTGTTGGGGAGAGAAAACAGAAAGACCCCTGGCAGGAAATAGTCCTCTCACTGCAGCTAAGTGCTTTTTCCGCCGGTGCTGGCTCCTGGAGAAAGAGAGAGAGAGAGAGAGAGAGAGAGAGAGAGAGCAAGCGCGCGCAAGGGTGAAAGAGACAGACCGAGAGAGAGAAAAAGAGGAATCCCATGGCTGTCTCCCTTGCCCTCAGAGCCCCTGAGGGGACTGGGGCCCTCTGCCATGGCAGCAAACCCCACCTGGCTAGCATGGTGAGGTTAGGCATGGCAAGGGAAGGCCTTCAGTGCCCAGTCTACTGGGCCTGCCTCTCCCCTCCTCAGCCCCCAGGCTGCTGAGCCGGCTCTCCCAGGTCCTTTGTGGCTTGGCCACCCAGAAAGGGTGTCATTCAGTACAGCTCTCCACCTCCTGCCCAGGGCCTCTTCATCAAACTCCTCCGTGGCGCCAGGCTGAAGCCCAGCCTCACCTCATACATCCCCAAACACAGGGAATGCGCCACCATGTGCACTGGAGAACTGTCTCTGTCAACGGCTCCTGCTGAGATGCATCTGCAAGGTGCAGGGTCTTCCAAAAGTCCATGGAAAACACGTCTTTTTTTTTTGGAGAGGTTTTTTGTTTTTTTGTTTTGTTTTGCTATAGGGCGTGTGCGCTCGCCAGCCAGAGAGAGAGACAGAGACAGAAAGCGAGAAATCCCCCCCCAGGGGGGGATGGTCACGCCGCAATCCCTTCTCCTCCATTCTCCTCTCGGGATCTTGGGCACGCACGCACACGCGCCCGGCGTGAGTTTTAAGCCACCGGGCCCGGGATTCTAACCACGGTCGACTACGTGGGAGTCCAGCGACAAAACCATTACGCTAACTGCTGGTTCCCGAAAACACGTCTTTTTTTTTTGGAGAGGTTTTTTGTTTTTTTGTTTTGTTTTGCTATAGGGCGTGTGCGCTCGCCAGCCAGAGAGAGAGACAGAGACAGAAAGCGAGAAATCCCCCCCCAGGGGGGGATGGTCACGCCGCAATCCCTTCTCCTCCATTCTCCTCTCGGGATCTTGGGCACGCACGCACACGCGCCCGGCGTGAGTTTTAAGCCACCGGGCCCGGGATTCTAACCACGGTCGACTACGTGGGAGTCCAGCGACAAAACCATTACGCTAACTGCTGGTTCCCGAAAACACGTCTTTTGAAAAGACTACGCGGATTTCAAAACTTTGTGCGCCACAATATGCTCCTACTTTAATTCTATTTTTCCACGGACCTTTTGAAGTTCATTCACAAAGCATCTCACAAGAAGGGCAGGTGCCCCAAATGCCGCTCTGACTTTGAAAGATGCTGAAGTGTATGCTACTGTGTTTCTTTTCTTTTTAGACTTTTGCCACAGGGTGTGCTTGTTTGCAAGAGAGAGAGAGAGAGAGAGAGAAAGGGAACGTTAAGAATCACCCATCCCACCGGGGGCGATGGGGATGCAGCAGTCCCTTCTCCAGTTTCTTCTTGGGGTTTTGGGCACACATGCATACGTACCCAGCGTGATTTTTCAAGCCGCTGGGTCTGGAGCGTGAACCAAGGTCAGCCAGCCATGGGGGAGTCCAGTGCCTTAACCACCACACCACCCGCTGCCCTTCTAATTCTAATTGTTTCTAATTATTGCTCAGATTTCACAAAAAATCTGGACATTGCTGTACGAATTAAATTATCGAAATTAAAATGGCCTGTAATTTCACTACTTAGAGCAGGATTGGGAAAGACAAAAAGGTTCACGTGTTTATTGTCTATACCCCACAGCTGGGTAAACTCCCATTAATCATGGGAACTTCACCCTCTGTGCAAATCCCTGCTTGAGGGCCTACCTTCAGGTATTTTAATAACTGATTTTTATTGAGTTCTGGATTAACTCATCTAATTCTCATGTCAGCTCCATGAGACTCAACAAATAGATGGAGAAGCAGGCTCAGAGAGGGCAAGTAACTTCCCTGAGGGTACACAGCCAGTGAGGGGCAGGAGTGGAGATCTAAACCATCAGGTGCCAGATCAGACCCTGACCTCTACAACTTCCTTCCCTCACAGGAGCTGGGTTCCAGACCGCCGAGCAGCTCCGACGCTGACCTATTCGTTCATTCGTTCTCTCAGTCATTCATTCGCGAAGTCTGTGGACTTTCCCGAGCTCTGGGTCAGTGCCAGGGCGCAGGCTGTTGCTGTCCCCGAGATCCCCTGCCCATACCTGGCACACTTTCAGACCCTGCCTTGAGAAACTGAACTCCATTTATTACCAAAGACTGGGTTCATCACATCGCATGTGAACAGCCCCTGCCGGACCTCCAAGCCTACAACGGCAAACCCTCCTTGGACACGGCCTGCTCCTGCATGAAGTCCTGGGTGGGTGGGGTGGCCTGACGACCCCTGGACACATGTTTATAACATGCACGTGGGACCCAGAGCCTCAGCTTCCCCCCCAACCCCCAGGGCCTCGGCCATGGGGAAGGAGGAAGTGGTCCTTGCAGGGAGCAGGGTCTGGTCCCAGGGCAAGCGGAAGCAGCTGCATCAGTTCCAGCAGCCGGTCAGCCTGGGCCCCTGGGGGGGCCTGTGGCTTCGGGCCAGTCCTGCCCAGCCCCGAGAGGCTCTAGGCCACCTGGATTTGCAGGTCTTCGTCCTCGTCCAGGTCGCTAGCTCCATCTCCAGCCTCTTCAGTGCCAAAGCGGGCACTACGGATCTTGCCAAAGAGAGGGGCGTTCTGCTGCTGCCTGCGGAGCCTGTGGGGTGGAGGGCAGGTGACAGCAGCTAAGCCCCCCTGTATTCCCCGCCACCAGGCCCCATGCTGGGCCCTCTCCACACACCACCTGCTTTCTCACCCTTCTAGAATCCCCTTACCTGAGGAGGTATGCCCTTTTGCAAAGAAACAGAGACATAAAGAACGAGTAATTTGCCCAAAGTCACACAGATGTTAGGAGTGAGGCTGGGCTCTGAGTGGCAGCGGTTGGCTCCAAGTGGCCTGGGGGCTTAGAGAGGTGAGGGGGCTGGCTCAAAGTCCCGAGCTGGGATCTGAACCCCAGCCTGGTTTGAAGAGCCTAGGGAGCAAAGTGTGGTGCTGCTGGGAGGTGGTCTGAACCCCTATATTCTCAAATTGAGTGGGAAAGCACTCAGCCCTAAGTCTTCCCCACATTCAAACTCCTAAAGCCCAAATTTACGAGGCAAACTTGGACTCCGAGGAGAGCTGCTGGAGGAATGCCCCCCCAGTAAGTGGCCGCCCTGCTGCATCTTACTGGAAGGCATGAATTATTAACACGGCAGGGAGGGGCCCAGGCGAGGCCTCCATTACTGCACAGTGATTTAGTGAGCTGTCCCTGGGTCATTAAAGCACAAAAAGTTGGAGAATAAAATGAGGCGGCGGTCCTGGGTGGCCCTGCCCTTCCTGGTGGAAGCACTTCAGGGGCTGGGGCAAAGCCTGCCTGCTCAGTGGAGTTTATGGCTTCCGAGGAATGTGACCCAGACTGTGAGAAGCCCTGAGGTTCAGCGGCCTCCTGAGGGGTGAGTGCTGGGTGTGGGGTGTCTGGAGTGGGCAGACTTTCAGCCTAACTTGGGCCTGGGCCCTGCACACCCTTTCTGGGTACCATCCCAGGCAGATGTGGAAACTGAGGCTCAGCTGACCAATCCACAGTTGTCAGGTCTGGCTCCATAGTCTGTATTCTTTTTTTTTTTTTTTTTTTAAGAGAGATTTTTGTTATAGGGTACATGTGTTCCCTGGAGAGACAAAGAGAAAATGAGAAATCTCCGGGGTGGGGAGTGGCTACACTGCAATCCCTTCTACTCCATTCTCCTCTCAGGATCTTGGGCATGCATGCACACACACGTGTCCAGTGTGAGTTTTAAGCTGCTGGGTCTAGGACTCGAACTGCAGTCAGCTATGTGGGAGTCCAGCGACATAACCATTACTCCATCTGCTGGTCCCTCCATAGTCTATATTCTTAGCCACATGATCTTGGCACACGGCAGCACATAGTACGTGCTAAGGAAGGGCCAGGGGAGATCTCGCCTGCCTACCCACCCGCCACATGGCTGCGGATGGACTTAACTCCTTAAGCCTTAGCACCCTCATCTGCCAGCCTTCTAGAAGGAAGAAAATCTCCCTCCCCTTCTCTTTACAGAGGGAGCATGACACCTGTAGAGCAGTAATTGCCCGGACCTACGTCCCTTTCCCAGGGGCAGCAGTGACAGGAGCAACAGTAACGGTCCCAACTTGTGGCAGTGGTTTCCCGTAGTGACCAGTCCATCCAGTTCTCACAACCACCCAGAGTAAGAACCATGACTGTCCCCGTTTTACAGATGAGAACACTGACCCAGAACAGCCAAGAAGAGTGCCAAGGCCACACGGCTGCTAAGCGCAGAGCCAGGCTGTCCGCCACCCAGCAGCCCAGGCACTCTGTTCCATGGCGTAACGCAAGGCCAGGGCTGGCACAGGTCGTCGGTCAACGGGCAGTGCTGTGGCTCGGAGGCCGCGTGGGTTTCCCAGCTGTGAAGTGGGGAGGCACTTGGACTTGATGAGCCCTGCTATCCCTATCTCGTAGCTCTAGGGGAGTGTAGGGAGAAGGCGTGACAGTGCCTGCTGGGTGCTGGGACGATCTGCTGGGGAAGGGAGGTGGAGTGTCCTGGCCGGGTCTCCCCAGAGACTCTGCTATACTCTCTGAGGCTGGGGGAGTCGTCGGCAGCTGAGGGGGTTGGCTCGCTGTCAGGGATGGGGACTCGGCTCAATTCCCCGCCCTTCAGTCCCTTCGACCCTGCTGCTTAGGGTCAACCCAGCCCAGCCTCGAAGCCTGCAGGAGGGTATGGAGGGAGGGTATTTATTCTTGTCAAGGACTCCCCAGACCCCTTGGTCCTACCCTAGGCCTGACCTCTCTGGCCGCTCACCAGCCCACCTGCTGGAGGAGACAATTCCAGAGTCCCCCCACTGGTCTGACTTCCTCTGCCCCCCTTCCCTGGTTTCCTGGCCATGGCCCTTCCTGCCTGGAGGGACAGGATCCTGGCCCCAGGGCGCTGGCTCTCTTCTTCCCCCTCTTCCCCTCTGGCCCCATTCAGGGCTCCAACCCTGACCGGAGGTTTCTCTGGCTGGAGGCCTTTCGCTGCCTCTGTATCCCAGGTGTGAGGCCTTTTGCCACTGAAGCCTGCACCTGCCCCCCCAGCCCACCTGGACTGCAGGTGCTCCAGCTGTACTTGTAAGTTCTCACTCTGCTCCGTCTGCTCGTCCAGCGACCGCTGCAGCTTGCGTGCCTGGTTGTGGGCCTCGTCCAGCTAGGGAGTAAGCAGGGCCCAGGCCATGGTGTCACCCTGGGCAGTGGCCGCCTGTGACAGCTATCTGCCTGTGACCGCCAGCTCTCCTGCTGCTCCTCCCCGGGAACGTGCTCCCCCAAGACAGTGCCAGCTCCTTGAGTTCTAGACCCAGGCCCGTCTGATCCAGGGAGGCGTCCCTTCTGTTCCTACCACCTCTGTCCCTCTAGCCCAATCTAGCCATCCTCCAGTGCCCTCCACTACCGATCCGGCCATCCAACCATCCACCCATCCACCATCTAGCCCCACCTGCCTGTCCATCCGCTTGTCTGCCCAAGTGATACCCTCCTACCCACCCACCATCATTCATCTAATCAGCCACCCACCTACCCTTCCAGACACCAGCCTTCTCACCGTCATTCTAGCCTCTGTCCACTCCTCCTTCCACCAGCTGTCCATCCATATGCCCACTGTCTCCTCACCCATCTGTTTATTGCCCATCGTCCGCCATCCACTCTTCAGACATCTGCTACTACACCTCATCCGTCCTCCCTCCTGCTCTCATCCATCTGCCCACCTGCTCCTTTATCTGTCTGTTCACCCATTCAGAGTCCTTTTCTCCTCCCATTCAACTATCTACACGTCCATCCATTCATCTCCTCACCCACTCGTCACTACTCTATCCATTTCCTTCCCAGTCTCCTACCCTCATGCGTATCCGACCATCTGTCCGTCACCCACCTACCCACTCTACCCCGTGTGCCTCCTAGGAGTCAGGGCTGTGCCAGGCACTGGGGACCCAGCATGGGGTAACCCGGGGGGCCCGGCACCCCCACTGCACCCCTGCTCTGGCCCAGGGGCTACAGATGGTACTCACCTCATCCTCAGCTTGGGCCAGCTCCTTTTTGAGCTCTTCCACACGCAGCCGCAGCTTCTTCACCTCTGCCTCGTGCTGCTCCACCCGCCTGCTGGCATGCGCCAACTCTGCCACCTTCTCCTGGAACTGCTTCTTCAGCTTGCCATGCACATGCTTCAGGTCTGCAAGCTCCTGCGGGGGCACAGAGGGATGTGGGGGAAGGGCTTGGCGTCAGATGGAGCACCATGCCCGGGAGTCCCATGGGTCAGCTGGTTCCAGGGATGCTGGGTCTCTTCCTGCCAGCCTGTCCACCTGCTGTCAGAGCTATCCGTGTTAGAGGTTCACTGTGCAGGCAGAGGTTCGAGGTGCCACCTGGTGAGAGGGTTAGGTTGGGGATAACGAAGAAGGCTGGGTGGGTACATCCATGCAGCTCCATTTTGCACACGCAGCCTTGAGATGTCAGTGGAATGGCATGGCTTCCTGGCAGCCTGCGAGCTGAGAGTCAGGAACCACAGGGAGGGTGAGGTCAGCCTTCAGTGGGGTATATGTGGCATGTGTAGCCCCGAGTCTGGGACGAGCTACGTTGGGGGCAGGTATAGGATGAAAAGGGGTTGGAGGTCAGGTGGCCAGGAAGGGGATGTGCAGTCAGCAAAGAGATGCCCACCCTGAGCTCCGGGATTCCTGAGCCCACTTGCCCTGCTGGAAAGTGGGCCAGGCACTGCCTAGAGGTCTCTTGGAGCTATCCTTTCTGGTCCAGCCCCACAGCCTCAGCCCGGTCCAGGTCTCCCCTGTCCTTTGCTGCCTCGGGAACATCGCCAGCCCCACCCCGCCCCTGTCCTTCCCTATAGCAGCAGTGAGTGCTGGGGATGGCTACCTGCTCACGCCCACCTGCTGCCTCCCCTTGTCTGGGGTGGCCTGCAGCTCCTGCCCATCACCATGTCTTGCTTACTCCCCTCTGGCCACACTGGCCTTCTTGTTCCTCCAGAGGTCCACGTCTCTCTCATCACTGGACATTTATTTGTGCTGTTCCCCAGTTCTCTAACCTTGCCCCATCAGTTCACTCCCAGTTAATGTCTGCTTTTCTTGACCTCAGCTCAAATGTCACTGCCTCTAGGAAGTCTTCCAGGACTCTGGGGTTAGCCAGGTCCCCTGATATCTCTTCTTCCTATTGATAACCATGGAGTGACTTGTGAGTCTATGTGACAGAGATGGCAGTGGCTGCACCTTCTGAGCCATGGACTCCATCAAGAGAAGGGGAGGCCACTTCTGACAGTTCATGCGTGTCTCAGCTCCTAGACCAGGGCCTGGCACACAGTGGGTACACAGTACATCCAAATACTATAATGGCCACTGAGCCTGGCCACAGCGAGTGCCTAGGAGGGGCAGGTCCTAGAATAACCACCACCTCTGTCCTTAGTTGTTACTTCAGGAGTTCTTGGACCCGAGGGCTGGAGCACACAGTAGGTGCTAGAGCACACAGTGGGTGCTCTGCTCCAGCTGGATGGGGAGGCAGGACCGCCCCAGCTCTGGTCACGCACTGCCCCACCTTGTTCTTCTCGAAGAGCGCGGCCTGACTGGCCCGCAGGTCGCAGTCCAGTGCACTGGCCGTCTGCCGCCTCCGCCGGGCCAGTGCTTCCTCCAGGTCCCCGACCTGTGCCCTCAGCTTCTTGTTCTCTCGCTCCAGGCCCAGCTTCTCTGTCTCCAGCCGCTCACGGCGGCCCCACTCGGCCTGGGTCTTCGGCTGCCACCCCCCCCACTCCC